TGTTGTTGGAGGTGACGAAGATGCCGATACCGATGGGGATGAAGATGAGGCCGATAATGAAGAAGGCCGGCAGCACTGTGCCCGCCGTCAGGATGGGCTGCCAGGCGGGCAGGCGCTGCTGCTTGAACGCCGTGTTGTCCGGCTTGCGGGTCTTCACCGCTCCACCACCGCCGGCCGCGGCCCCGCCGCCAGGCCCGCCGCCCGCAGGGTGCCCGTCCGCCTCCTCCTTAGCGCTGTAGTTCACCGCCATGACGCCGCCCGCCGACACCGCCGGCCGCCCCGCCCGCGAACCCACCACGTGACCGACGGACGCCGCGCCTGCGCTCTCGCGGGACGGCGCGCGGTTGATGACATAGCATTCGCGTCCCGGCGGAAAGGGATCGCCGAGACGAAGCTGCGCATGCTCAGAGTAAGAGCGGTGTCTGCGCAACGGCAGGACACGATCTGGGCGCTCATTGTCTCTTTCCGCCTGCTCGGAGCGGAAAGCGCATGCGTAATGTCAACGGGCGCCTTTATTCACCGTCCACTCTGTTTCTGCGCATGCTCATGTTCAGTGCTGCTGGTTTTGAGTCCGGTGGTTGGAATCGCAGAATGGCCTGGGTTGAAAAGGACCACAATGACCATTGAGTTTCAGCCCCCCTGCTGTGTGCTGGGTCGCCAACCAGCAGACCAGGCTGCCCAGAGCACATCCAGCCTGGCCTTGAATGCCTCCAGGGATGAGGCATCCACAAGCTCCTTGGGCAACCTGTTCCAGTGCGTCACCACCCTCTGTGTGAAAAGCTTCCTCCTAATATGTAACCTAAACCTCCCCTGTCTCAGCTTAAGACCATTCCCCTTGTCCTGTCACTATCAACCCTTGCGTGTGCGTGTATTTCTGAGCAACTGCTTTGTCCAGAGGGGCACAGCTCAAGGCAACGCAATGTTGAAACTGTGTATTTCTCCTTCTGCTGGTGCTTTCCTTTTAAAGTTCATTTAGCGAGGGCGGGGGTGGTCAACGTGGCCAAAACCTGGCTGTCAGCAAGCAATGATGTTTCTTTGTGATTTTAGAAAAATGTAATGCAATGAGTTTCTGAGCAGCCGGATCTAACGGTGTCCCTTGCATTGCGGTTGGACTAGGTGACCTTCAAGGGTCCCTTCCAATTCAACTGTTTTTGTAGTTCTGTGGATTTCATGTGTAATCAATGCTCTTTGGCTGCAGACGGGAATAGTTTCCCAAAAATGAAGTGGGATAATCAAATACACCAAAGGGGAGCACCAGGGAGGCAGGCGTCTGGTGAGGAGCAGCGCCGTGGGGCTGTGCAGGCTCCTGCCTCTCCACAGGCAGCACAGGAAGCTCAGGAGCACTATTTTTTATTTATTTATTTTAAAGCATCTAAAATTTGGGCTCTAAGCAGTTATCTAGGGCTCTCATGTGAGACACTTCCCTTGTATGTGCGGCAGCTGTATCTCATTCCTGATGTATCCCTCTGAGCTTCAGGCAGTGAAGCCCCTTCCCCTGTTAAAACCCTTTTCTCTATTATCTTTTGTCTTCTGTCATCAAGCCTGGCGACTTGTGCTGCCTCAGCCTCCCAGAAAATCCAGTGAGGGATCAGTGAGTGTAAACCTGTGCTGTGAGGTGACAAGAAGTTTCCTTGGATGCTGCCAGGTTCAAGAGGGCCCTTTTGTCCTCTGCATTTTATTGACTACTCATGGAAAAGCAACATGTTCCCTCCATGCCACCCTGTCACCTCCTGGACACTCAGCTTCTTCATGGCCTCCATCAATGAAAGATCACCTCAATGCAGCCATCACAGTAACCCGATGGAAAGGCATCCCTCCATCTGTGCAAAGACACAGAGGACACCACAGGGCACCATGTTTTGCAGTCCTAATTGAGTTGGTGCTGGGAACTCTGGCACGAGGTTCATCACGTGGGGCCTGCTGTCATGAGAACCAAATACACCTTCTACTTCTGTGTGCAGGTAGATACACTGGGCACAAGCTGTCAACCCTTGGGGAATCTTACTTCCATTCTTTAGAGAAATAAAGAACATCAGCTTGAATACTTTGATATTTAAGGGCAACTAAGCTGGTGAGGATTCTGGAGCACAAGTCTCACAGAGAGCAGCTGAGGGAACTGGGAGGCTCAGAAAAAGACCTTATTGCTCTCCACAGTCACCTGGAAGGATGTTGTGCCAAGGAGTTCGGTAGCTTCTTCTTCCAGGCAATAGCAATAGGATGAGAGTTAACGTTGCCTATTAGGAAGAATTTTTTTATCAGGAAGAGTGGATTGAACTGCATTGGAACATGCTGCCCAGGGAAGTGGTGAAGTCACTGTTCCTGGAGGTGTTTAAGGAAAGGGTAAATGTGGTGCTTGGGGACTCGGTTTAGTGGGTGATACTGGTGGTAGGCAAATGGTTGTACTAGATGATCTGAGAGGTCTTTTCCAACATTAGTGATTCTGTGATTCTGTTATATCTCTGTTTTACTTTATTGCCTGTAAGCTAAGGTCTTGGTTGAATATTATTGCATAGGTTTATGCTAAGGCAAATTCATTTAAATCCAAGCAAGTACAACCTACAAAGTTCACACTCATGAATTTTTACACTAAGGTGCTGTGCAATATAGTGCACTTCAGATTGATTTGTGTGCATTCGTAAGAAAAACAGATACAGAACAAAAATTACTAACAAAAATATACATTCATAGTGATCCTTCTTAGTGTGTGGGAAGGTAATCTAATTTATTAGGTCTTCATTTTGGCAGCTGCGTTGGTGGTATAGTGGTGAGCATAGCTGCCTTCCAAGCAGTTGACCCGGGTTCGATTCCCGGCCAACGCATACCAAATTTTTGCAGGCAGTGTTCTCTTCAATCCTTCTACTTGGAAAACGGGTATCCAGGCAGACAAAGAACAGACCAGTTGAATGAATTGAATGGATGCATGATTGATGTCATGCCCAGGGCTTTGGGTTCTGTGATCTTGGACAAACCTTAAGCAGGATAGGACACAACTGACCAGGAGGGGTAGAAATATAGTTGGCAGCAAGCTGGTACGGCTCATCACCAGGATTTTAAACCAGATTTGGTGGGGATGTACTGCTGAGTAACAGAGAAGACTCAGGGAACACTGGCACTTTAGAAAGCAGGGGGGAGAACCTTGGATTTGCCCCAGAAGTTTTTGGGAGGGCTCTGCCCACAAGGTAACGTGGCCAAAAGCCCAGCTGAAGTGCCTCTGTATCAATGTACAACGTGGGAAATAAGCAAGAGGAATTGCACTATGGTGAAATTGGAAAACTACTATCTTATTGCTATCACGGAACCATGGTGGGACGAATCACATAACTGGAATGCCATGACTGAGGGCTATGAGCTTTTTAGAAGGCATAGGTGAGGTAGGAGGGGTGGGAAGAAGTGGAGTAGAAGTGCAAGGAGCTGCCTCTGAGAAACAGTCATAAACAAGTTGAGAGCTTGTGGGTTAAAGTTAGAGACTGGACTAATAAAGGGCATCTGGTGGTCAAGATCTACTACAGGCCACCTGATTGAGGCCCCCTTCTTGCTTCATCTGCAAGAGACATCATGCTCACAGGCTCTCATTCTGGTAGGGAAATTTGCTGATGACACCAAGCTGAGTGGTGCAGTTTACACAATAGAAGGGAGGAACCTGGACAAGCTCTAAAGGCAGGAAGATGAGAACCTAATGAGGTTCAGCAAGGCCAAGTGCATGGTGTTACACTTGGGTTGAGGCAATACCAGATAAGAGTACAGACTGGGAGAACTCATTGAGAGCATCCTTGCAGAGAAAGACTTGAGGGCGCTGATGGACAAAAAGCTGATTTCAAGCATATTAAATCCACACAAATATTACAAAAATGACTGTACTGTAATTAATCTAAAAGGCCATCAATTGGCATTTACTTTTTAATTGTATTTCATTAACTCTCCCTGAACGATCTTCTTCTGGCTCTTACTCTATCACATTGTCTTCTTATTTCTAGGAAAATGATGCTCTTTAAAATAAAATCTAAAGAAATAAAACTTCATGCTGTTATAACCACTAATACAGAGAGTAGTCAATTAAGGCAAATAAAAGTGTCAAACAGATTAATTCAGTCAGCCAATCTACATAGGTATAAACAAGCATTACGTGTAAAGCATTCAACATAGAACTAAATGTTGCTGTTCAGAGAAAAGAGCTAAAACTGAGCATTTTCACAGTAGAAAGTGGAGTGTTCAGGGCAGTAACCTCCATTTTCTATTTCTACCATCTTTTCTACATTACAGATTGTTCTACAAAACAGAAAATTTTATCTCCTCTTTGTGTCCAACTGTTTTTCACAATGAGGCAAATGGAAAGCACAGTGTAGAAGAGTCTTTTTCTAGAAGTCAAAGTATGTCAGATTTTTTAATAGAAGTCGTATCTTATCACCTGTATTTATACTAAAATAGGGCTTTGAAACCCCTATAGGCAATTACAGTATTTTAAAGGAAACGCAGATCATTCACTGATTTTCCATTGCTCAAAAGTTACTGCTCTCTGAGGTCCAAAGTGGCTTCTGCTTTGTCTTATCGTGAAAGCACTTCATGATTACTTCCTTTTTAACGGTAATGACTGTAGAAGTTCATCCCATTTTTAATCTACATTATTATATTTCTTCCTGAGTGCCCCCAGAGTATCAGCCAATTATGTGGCTAATGCACTTCCTTAATTTGTTTTAGATGCAAATCCAGATTTGGTAATGTGCAAAATGGCCAGGAACATAAATACAGAAGATGAAATACACCTGTCAGAGCAGCCTTTGCATTTGTGAACTTGACTGACTGGATGCCTTAGTGAAATACTTTGCTGCCTGCAAAATACCAGAAGAGAATATATTATTCTATCTGCATAAAACAGCATTGTTAATGCCATAGTGTATGTCAGCAATGATCTTTTGTGACCAAGGTTGCTATTATTCTTTAGAGTGCTGCAGTTCATTATCATACATTAAAATCTAAATGATTTCAAGTACACCACGACTGTATTAATGCTTTAAACAAATCTTTATTTTTTAAAAGCTTAAAAACTTAATGCATTTGCGAAGCCGTAAATGTCTGTGTATTTGTTTAGGGATCATAAAACAACAGAGGACAGCTTATGCATACACTCATACTGAATCAGCTTTATATTAAAATCCAGACAAGGAAAAATACTTTATTCCTTGATTGGGACTTTTCAAATCCAGACTCAACTTTGAAGTATGACTGTACTTAGATTTTACCCATATTAAAAGTTCACGTCAGGCTTGTCAGTGTCACTTTCAAATACAGGGCAGTTTCATTCCAGGTGAACTCATGGATAGTTCTTGATTCACAGGTGGTGTTTTGAAAATAGGAGATTTGGGGTCAGTACTACATTCATTCTACTGCACCGCAAATTGAAATGTGGCACACGCTTAAACATGCTCTGAATTTATTATTCTATGAAAGCTGGAATATTGAACTCACTCTAAAATACTGCTTATAGACACAGCTATGCTTATTGGCACACATTATCAGATGTAAAAAAACAAAAACAAAAAAACAAAAAAAAAACAAAAAAACACCACAAGCCTTCTTAACAAACTTGGTGCACCAGCTGAAGCTTTGGTGTAGTGAAAAGCTATACCAGGAAGTGAGTTTTGCAAGCAGAAACAGCATTTGTTTTGTTTAGATTATCCAGTAGCTCCCTTGCATGTCAGCTAACTCTTCCCAGTGCAGATCAGCTCCACAAAACTCCATCCAGGCCCAGATTGTCCTGGTTCTCTAGAATTTCAGTACTAAGTGCAGAGCTCATATCAAGAAGAGCCAACAGCTCCCATGGTTGGCAAGCAAACCAAACCACAAAGATCAAATTGACTACATACTGCTGCATTATTCCAGCTTCAAAGGTAACTGGCCTACTCTTCTCAGTAGGACACTGAGTTAATGCACTTTTTCTGGCATCCCACATTGCATCTCCTGCAAGCAATACTGTTTTCTCTTCTAAAAAACAGTTTATCCCAGTAGCATCTACAATTTAAATAAGTAGCATTTTAAATATGTGCCAATGACTTGATTAAAAACAATTAATTATGAACTGTATAAGAAAAAAACTCACCCCACAAGGGTTTTATCCAGCTTTACGTGTAGTTCATTCAAACATCATTTTAAGTATAGCTGCCACAGAGCTCTCTGGGTGCTATTTGAAAAGCTGCCAGTGTAAAATGCACAGTTCACCACATGGCATCTCATTTATACAGTTCCATTAGTCTTGCACTGAACAATCTGATCATGTCAAGCAAATGTATCTGCCAGTGCAGTGAGAGTTACAGGTTAGAAACAATGATGTCATTAAGCACTTGGTGACAGATCCCTCTTTGTATCACAAACAATATTAGAACCAGTTTTACTACGCACATCACTGTGAGACCGCAGTGGAAAGCAGTCAGAAAAATTAACTTCCAAAGCTGTACATTCTGTCCCTACACACAAAGACACACAAATACTGCCAACTTTAGAAAATTAATTTAAAATTGAAACACTTGATTACATTTGCATAGTTGTGAAAATTTATTAGTTACAGTGTAATGAAAATCAACTTTTTTTTTTTTGGTACAGGCGTAAGTAAAAACATACATTATATAGAAAAAAATCACAGCTTTAAAAACTGGCTTACATCGTCTAAAATGAGTAAATCTAGTTGTATTTCAAGGCATTGGACTTTATACTTAATTTTATGCCAAACCATCACACAGTGCAAGACATATTCTGCAATAGTAGAAATTCCATACAGCAGTCATCAGAGTATTTAGTCTCACAGAATCGAATGGTAGCAAAAAATTGCGCCGAGTATTTTTCCATTTAAACAGAAAATACTGTTGAAATTATTTTTTCATTTCTTTACATTCTCTCCTCTACAAAAATATCAAATTGCAAATTTTAACAGTGTATTCTACAAACAAATGCACCACGGACAACAGGAATTGGAACTTTGGGACAGTTACTTTACAAAGTGTATTTAAAAAAATAAATTATATGGCAAACAAAATCAAGCACGTGCCTCAGGCTTCGCAAATAAAAGTGAAATTCAGCTGGCAGAAAGACTGCTTCTCTCCCTCTGGCTGTATCAAAATACCGTTCTTAAAGCTCTACCAAGAATACATAAAATCTAATGGAAGCAGTAAATACTCCCATGAATAATCAGTAGCACAAGTGACCCTGGTGTTGATGGTAGAGGGCTTCTACAGTGATCCGTCCAACTGGTAAGGAGGGTAGTGCACACAGAGAGAATACTGGGGTGCTGGTAGCTCATCTAGAGCTCATGCGTAACTGGTGAATGATGACACTCTCTAAAAGAAAAGAGAGCAAAACATTTGGTTTTATGAAATTGGAAATAAATTACAAGTTACTATCATGAAGAACAATTACATTAGCAAAGTGGTTTTTTTTTTCAGGAAATACCTTGCAGCCTTTCTCTAACGTCACTGTCTGATAAAAAATGCTCTGTTTAAATGCTGCAATGGGAAACCTAACTAGTACCGTGCTTGGGCTCTGGAGCCCTTGGCTCCCACTTCACTGTCAAATCCATCACTTGGAAAAAAAGAATAATACAGCTGAATAAATTGAACCACAGGAACACTAAGGCTCAGCCCCACACCTGAATCCTGTGGAGGACAATTTGAAGTTGGGTATCTTGAATCCTATCTGAGCAAAATCATCAAAAACCTGCTGGCGATTCTGAAGTGGGGTTAAGAAAGAGGTACGTGGTCATTTGTTTTTATCTGAATTTTCCTTAGAATCTGATGCTGCTTTTATTCACCAAGTCTGCGGAATTTTGCTATTGCCTGGAATATAAATTCCAGCCATAGTATGCAAAAGGAAGTATTTGCCTTGTCTTTGAAAGGCCCAATTTAATTTTGTCCTGAGTGTAACACAAGAGCTCTCTGATTAATTTCAGGTTCTTTTGAAATGCTGGCTCACAGCTTGGCCTTCAGCTTTTCTGTTTAAGTACACTGCTCCAACAGGCAATTTTTAATAGAAGAATTTAGCTATCAGCCAATGACATTATCTCTGAAAATAGGTATTTTGCACACTTCAAATAATATAACTGCACTGATGCTAACTAGAAGTACAGTAACATGTTTTCATAAATACTCATTTTTTAATTGAAATGTTGTTGGTTTTTTAAGATTCTTTCCTCTCTTAATAGCCTGAAGATTTTTCAAACAGTATGCAGCCCAAGAAATTGTACTAACCGTGCCATTATCCCCTTAGACATTTCTGTTGACTTTGTCTGCTAATACCTGAAAGGTGTTTAAATAAGTTACATTAAAAGAAAGGTCACTGCTTTTTGTGTACTCGTTCTGCCAGAATGTTGCCACTAGATGGCAGGTTCCAGTTAGGTTTTTTATGTGTGTTGACCGAGAAAAGCACAGCTACGGCAACATCCAAGGAAATAAGGTGTGGCAAATGAAGTAATAGATTTTCCTACATGAAAGCATTTCATTTTTATATAATTTACATTCAGAAATGATTTTCAGGCATATGTGTGTGCTTATTCTCAGAAATTTGAGCAATGAATATTAAAGAACAGCAAACTATGGCAAGAAAAAATTACAGGCAGAGCTGTTCTCTAACTTCATGCTCTTGAGGAATATTATGCAAAAAGCTGCATTTAATATCAGATTATAACGTCGAATGAAACCTCCCATTCGTGTCAATGGAAGTCACGTGAATTCTATAGGAAACACTTTTTCTTAATAATCAATTTCTTCATAGTTTAATAACAAAATTCTAAAAACTAAATGGACTGTAGAAAATATCATCTTCCTTGCGAATGCTCAATACTGAATGAACAGCAAAAATGCAGTGGGTTTCTGAGTCAGCTGTCCTGCAGACTAAATATAATGATTTTTTTAAAAGTCAGAAAAATATTTAAAAAAATATCTTCCAGTTCTAGTATTTACTTGTTCATTTCTTTCTCACACTCATTTATATGCATGGACCAGGTTGTTTGTTTTTGTTTTTGTTTTTTTCCTAACAATTTATTTTGCATTAAATTGTTACATATAATATGTATATGTATGCATTATTACACAGAGTCATAGAGAGGTATGGGTTGGAAAGGACATTTAAGACCATTTAGTTCCAACCCTCTGCTATAGGCAGGGACACCTCCCTCTAGACCAGGTTGCTCAAACTACTACATACTACATACTACATACTACATACTGTAGTTACTAGAAGAGGTATTCAAACAGTTATTAAACCAAAACTACAGTAGGGTAGATTTTGTCACAGTTCTGTAGGAGTAACCTCTGTAGGAATATGGTATCTGTAGGATATAATTACATACATTTTTTAGGTCTGAATATTTCAAGGAGCTATCAATTCACTTAAATGCAACTGAAGTTATTTTAATGACAGGAAAAGAGAACAAAGATACATAATAAAAAGGATCAATCTGATTTCCATCTCCCCAGTGTAAGCTGGAATATCTCAGAGAAACACAGCATTAGCAACTGGACTATCAAAAATACCAACTCTCATAATGAAGCACATTTTAATGTATGTTTAATGTATGCATGTAAGTTTAATTTTTTCTTACAATATATACAAACAAAAAACATCAAATGATACAGAAAGTTGTGCATCCAAGTGACAAAACTGAATCATCTGTCAGTATTTCTATTTTTATAATCCTGTTGAAAAAGAGTTTTTAAAGTGAGGAACCATTCATACCTGAATGATTTGTACCTGAACGATTTGTACCTGAATTTCAGAGCTGACAGCTCTGAATTTGAAAGTAGTTAATCCTCACTGCATCTTCCAAAAAGCTTTGTAAGGGCAGCATAGGTAGTAATGGAGATCAAAAGTTAACATCTTCAGTGAGAAATGTTGGATAGAGGTCTGTCAGAGTATGCTCAGTCAGAATTAAGGGAAAGAAGGTAACTCACACTGATGAAGGGGAGAAAAATATTCCCCTAAATGAAAACAAGTTCAAAAGATGAGCTCATAGAATCTTCTGTCAGCAAACTGCAGGTTTCAAACAGATACAATGAAGTTGGCCATTGATAGGAACATATAATTGGTCTGAAAATTGTCTTGACTGCTGCAGATTATGCCAAGCACCTGAAACACCACAGGTAGATTGCTTCTTTAAAGACATGACTTTCAGCTTCTGATCAGAATCACAAAATGTTCATGTAAATATTGAACATGTTTTAGAACACGTAGCACATTTCAAGCAGTAACATGATTTGGCATCTAACTGGCATAAATCAGCATATTCATGTGACTTCTGAGAGTACTCAAATGCAACTAATTGCTATGGTGATGTGTATTCTATGGGCATATTAAGAAGAGTAACAAAAGTGTTTTGTGCTTTTTGAGGAACCACATTAGTGGGCGTCACAAAAGGGAAAAAAAAAGTGGGCAAAATAAATAAGAATCTCTGTTTTTCTTCTACTGTTTACTTAGTATGTTTAACAATATGAGAAAGCTCCTCTAAACATTATAGATGAAGTTCTGTGCTCCCTCATTTTCAGTCATACTTTGACTGAAAGAGCAAACATTGCTCTGCTCATGACCACATTAGCAATACTCATCCAGTAACAGCATTCAGGTGACAGGATCTAATCTTGAAAATGCAGCAGAAAACTTTGTTGCGGGTCTAGAACCAAAATCTCACACATCAGTGCATGCTGATCTGTATCTTGCCATGAATGCATTGGCACCTCTCCTGTTCTCCTGTCACTCTACCGAAGCCTTATGGGCTGGGTATGTCTATGTCAGCCAGAACAAATAATTTCTCCACTTCTTATTGAAGCATAACCAAAATAAAAATGTTCATCTGTTCCTAGTGAGTCTGAACTTCGACCTTTTTAGCACTAGCATGGGTACAAGGGAAAAAGCTGATGTCAGAATTTAGGTGCATGCTAACCTTTTTTTATGTTGCAAGTATGGATGTAGATTAGTTAACATCTATTACTGACTTATTTTCTGATTTAAAGGGATGAGGACAGAGATTGCAGCAAGAGATGTTCAGATTAGATACGGTATGTTGAGCAGGAATGCAGAGTACAGTGCTGTAACTTCTGAATCCCGCCGTTCCTCTGTGCATTAGGTGTCTTGCTAAGCCTTGCCAGAAGCTCCTTCCTCTTTTTGGCACTCACAAAGCAGCAGCCATCTCATGAAAAGAGTAGCAGATCAGGCCCTTTCTCTCAATATCCTGAAAATAGTTGAAGTACTTAAAAGTCAGTGAAAGAAATGGAAATTTTCATTTGCACAGATAGTCCATGTTAAGAGCAGTATTTCGTAATGTGGGCGCTATGGGTTGAGATTTTGCTTGTGTCTGATGGGATTCAAATCTGTACTTCCTCTCTTTCAAACAGCACTGTATTTATCATTGTTATTCTGACTGCATTTTGCTATTGAAACTGTTCCACTTCACTGAAAAAATCAATACAGGGAAAAAGGAAAGGGAGAGAAAGAATGAGCATCAGTAATTCCTGGTGATCACCTGGGCAGAGGAAGCTGGTTTCCTGCACCGTAACCCAGTCATGGTAAAATACGCATAAAGAAGCCCCGTAAATAAAGGCCCGATTAATTTCCTATGGATTTATGTCTGACAGTTTGATTCTTTGGTGCCTAGTAAAATCTGAGGTCTGAAAAAAGCTTGTCCTTGTGGCATTTCTGACATCACTCTCTTGTGTTTGTTCTTTGATGTTGCTTGAAGGTGAGCTCATGCTGCATTCTTTCACACAGCGGGGTTCTGCTAAGGTCTTGCTCCTCTTCTCAGTCACCCTTTTCATTAAACGCGAAGAACTTCTTATTCTGGGGACCTCTGTTGCTTTGTCAGGTTTGGCCGAAACTGGTGGATGTATTCAATGTCATTCATTGACAGAGGACAGATGGAGGGATGGATAAACACAGACATTTCATCTTAGAAGCCTTCTTTTCACAGAAGGCCAGGCTTAAAAGCAGCCTTTGGATCAGGGACCTGAATCTAGGGGAACTTCCCCCGTACTTCAATATCCTGATCACTCAACCACTCTTTTGTTTCTGCTCAATGAATACTGAACTCCTCCATGCAGAACAGCACAGCCTTTACAGAAGGGAACGAGAATGCCATCGTCAGTCTCTCAGCTGTCAGTGCTTGCTGAATTTGGTGGAGCTGATTGGAATTACCTCAGGAACTGCTGAGAAGAGGGTCCTGACTCATGCCTTTGAAGGACAGGTTCAATCAAAAGCTTGTTAAAATAAGTACACTACTACATATCCCTGTGGTATGTGATCTATTAGGAGACATTAATGATTCTACAACCACTTTAAAACAGCTACTGGTTTCCCACACCTTCTCCCTTTCTTTTTCTGGCCCAAGAGCTTGCATCTAGGCTAGGTTAAAATTAGACTTCTTGTCTGTTGCTAGATTCCTTTTAGTTCAGATCAGTTCTCCAGGCAAGTTGAAACACTTGTGACAACTCATGGGTCAACCAGATGGAAGTCAGTATTATCTCGGGTTGGAATTGCCAAGGACAAGACTACAACTTCTGACTCTGGTGGTTGGTTATGTCCTGACTTTGAATGACCATGAAATTGTGGCTTTATTGTTGATTTTATGTCCTGAAAGGACATGAATACCTAGAATCTGGATTTCAGTTAGGTTCGGAGATTGCGCTTCTAGGTGGGCCACAACACTGGTAGGCAAGAGCAGCAGCAGAACTTCAGGTAGATCTTCAGCATGTCTCTGGTGCTCAGACAATACAAGGAAAGCTGGGAGCTCAACTGGACCATTATGGACTCTATTTAGATTTGGTTGTCTAAATCACCCTTGGAGCTGACTTACTGAAAAGAGAACCTTACTGTAGTCACTAAAAGTAGTCCTCAGATTCAGAAGAAATTCAAATAAAATAAAGACAGTTAAGTTTCAACTTTGAAGACTTCTGATCTACAGGCTTTCCTTTTTTAAAAAATAATAATAAAAGTATCATTATCTTACATTCTTTCTGCCTTTACAAAACAAGAATCTCAGCTCAGTCAAAACATGTTAAAAATGCTGAATACAACAAAATATATATCTATAGCTAACAGTCAAACTAGTTGCCTGATTCCAACTCTTCAATTCTGCTGGGTTGGCTATGGAGCAAAAGTTCTTTTTTTTTTTTTTTTTTTTTTTTTTGTTCCCAGGAAAAATAACAGCATTCTTGGTCTGACCTGTCTGGAATTTCTCAAATCTGTCTCATACAATCCTTCTGACTCTATAGAGCAGTTCCTAGCTTGTGTCTGCAGTACTGGTTCGGCTGTGCTAATTTGTGTGTGTCTTGGATTTCAGGTACTGTAAGTCTGGCTTATTTCTTCAGGTGAATTAGTTTCTCAGATCTTAGGCAAAACAAACCATTTTTTCAACCACAGGCACACTTAGAACATTGCCCTGGGTAAGGCAATGTTAAGTTAACTGAGGAATAGCTCGTTTCTTTGAAAAAAGGATATGAAAAGGAAGGCTTAAGCCAGCTGTAGTTCATCACTGTAACCACATTAGCTTGGGGCTCATGTTTGCAGTATTATTTAAATGATTGTTTTGAACTAAAGATTTGTTTGAGTGCCAGTGTTTAGAGGGTCTATCCAGCTAAAAGCTCTTAATAAGTTTTCTTCAAACATCTGCTTAAAAGTCTCTGTTACAAATAGAACAGTAAGATCTCAGTAACCATTTACTGTCAAACTGAGGCTTTTAACCTATAACAATTAGTTGAGAGGGTCTGATGCACTTCTGGAATGGTAACTCATATCGCTTGATAATTCCAGTTTCCAAGTTTTATCTGAAATAGTGAGAATTGAGTGCTATGAAAAATTTGAATCTGATTTCCAGGTGCCATAGGAAACAGAGCCTTAAAATTAGCAGGTACTGAAGGTGCTGCACAGATGGAGAAAAGGAAGTCTATTTCTTTTTCTATTTGACAGCAGCTTTCGTATCACAGACAAAATGTCCTTCATGTTAATAATAAAATGTCAGCCGTATTCTGGGACAATGGCCATATCTGGATCTTAAATTGGAGAGCACTGCAAAGTGCAGACTGAAGATTAAGCACTGTTTGGATTGAATATAATTTTGTCGACCTTTTGTGGCAGATTCTTCCATCAAATTTCTTCTCTCAGACAGAAAGCTATTTAATATTTCACACACTGGTGCATTTTCCTTTCCGTGAATTGTATTTATTATTTATTGGTAGTCTTCCTGCTTTTCCTTCTGAAAGCTATTCCTAACCAGTCCTTTACAGCTTTCTGTGGTGGTTGAGGTAAACAAGCTTTAAAACCAAAATTTATCAGTCTGCTCAGTTTCTTTTTTTTGCAACTTTCTTCTGTGCAAATTGATTACTTTAAAGGAAATGCCCTTTAATAACTTTAGTGTTATTAAATAAATCACTGTAACAATCATCAGTATCCACACCATTTCCATGCTGGAACAATTCCTTAAAACATGCTTAAAAATGCAAACATACAAATGAAGAAACCAAAAAGAGAGAAGAAGAAAGATGAATCTCCATGTTACTCTGAGGCAGTCTGTACTTAACACAAAATACTTCAAACAAATGAGAACTGACCATAAAGGAGATCATAGAGACCTTTTGTCTTTCCCTGACCATACCTGAACTATCTCTTCAGGTAGCAACTGCTACCATCAACAATCTGTGTTGACACTCCCTCTAACAAATAAGGATGCTTGACAGCTCAAGTTTATCTACAGAGCACAAGTCCATCTAACAAGAAAAACTGCAAGTCCAGTGATGTCAACTAAATAGCTTCATAGATTTTCATGGTTTTTGGAGCATGCACAAATGGACTGTATTGACTGTAGTCAGATCAATGTTTCTCTAAGGTTTTTTTTTTTAAGACTAAACACCTTTAGGCCTACTTCCTTCATCTAACCCCAGAGCTGGCAGTCTAAGCCACAGAAGAGAGACTCAGCTGCAAGCACTAACTACAAGTGTATTAAAGTTCTGGAAGAAATACATAGCTGTTTAGTGCTGCTGCTGCCTAAATTAAATCCCCATTCCCCTGAATTTTGTCACTGCCTTGAAAAAGAAGCTCACAGGTGAGAAAAGCTGATCTACAGGAGAAATTCCTAGATACAAGGCTGGTCACAACCTGTGGTCCCTTCTTTCTGCCTCTGCTGTATGTGAGACACTAGCTTTTATTGAAATAAAAGCTCAGGTCCCTAGGTAACACAGCATCTAAAAAATGTGGTTATAAGCAGGTGCTCCACACAGAAGCCAGGACAGAAAGTGATTTGTTATGATGGAAGACAGTTATTTAAAAGTGATCTTCCTTCCGTCTATTAAAAAGTTACCAAGTCAAGCATTAAGAATTCCTAGGCTGGATTAATAACTTGGTGAAGTTGCCCATTCTCACTTCCCAGGCTGAATGTATTCCTGATGTACACTGCCTTTTCGATGGCTCTTTTCCTCCTTCAATAAGAAAACAAAAGGATGTTGTTACTCAAGTAGTCATCACACACACTCATTAGTTGGTTGTGAGTGATAGGTGAAGGGCTTCGTTAGTATGGACAATCATGACCAACTCCACAGACAGGGGGCTGTAGTTCATGGTAGCAGTAACAGCTGCAGAACATACCCCCTGAACCTGCCATCAGCCCTGACCCCCGCCCAGGGAGCCAGAGCCACTGGCTGAAGATTTCTTCAGTTCTATTTTCATAGACTGAGTCTCGGCACGAGGCTCGAATTTTGTCACATTTCCTGCTCCTGAGGCTGCCACTACTGGCTTTCCTGCTTTCATACCTTTTGACACGGGAATACGGGTGGGTGTAGGTCTCAGGGATGACCCATCCTGTGCTGTCTGCAAAAGAGTCACACAGAGAGAGAAATGACATGAACTGAGGACTTCCTCTTCTCACATATTCTCATATATTACACTTTTTACAGTTTCTTCATTTACTACTCAAGAAACAATGTCCTAAATCATGCCTATCAGCAAATGAACGTTCACATTTGAAATGTATCTGCAGCAAATACTACTAGAGCAGGGCCAAAGGTAGAAAATCAGAGTTAAACTAGTCTTCCAGAGCGGGGGACCAGCATTTTAGATCAAGATGTCATAAGGATGAGAATCCCTGCAAATCTCTGATTCTGCAGCACACCACAATGCAGGGCTCTGAGCCAAGGCCAAGCTGTCAGACAGGCACAAGACTAGCATCACACGCGCACACTGATGAGCACAGGCCCTCAAAATAGAATAGCCACATGAGGCTAATTTGCTAATTGCCATATTTTCAGAGCTGGGACAAACTCTCTCAGTCACATAAATAAAATTGAACTTTGCTTCCCCTAGTTCAGTGGGCCATGGCTGGGGCTGGTTGTTTCTGCACTGGGAAGTACAGGGGTAGGAGAAAGCAAATAGGGTCAAAACAGAGCCAAGATTTGGATTTCCCTTTCCTGTTGCTGTAGGAGAAAGGATGTGGGAAAGAATTCTCCTTCGGGAGTCACAGCCACAGCTTGCTGACCTCTGGCAAAGGCAAAGCTTGCCAGGGCTACCTCAAGGCAGGGCAGACAAAGCCATTCTACCAGCTCAGTCTTGGCAACAACCTCCCTAGCACTCTTATACTCAAGTTTGTGGACTTCAGAAGAATAAACCAGAGCTCAAAATAATTTCAATGTTTCTTTACTCTGGAGAGAAGCCAGCTGAGGACCCAGTCCCCTGCCTGGAGCTGGCAGATCTAACACCACGCCAGCCACAGACCTGTGCCCAGCCAGAGTTCCAGTCACAGGCCATGAGGCCTCCTACAGCTCTAGGAATGGCAACCCATATCCATGTTTAGGCAACTAAATTTCACTCTGTAAAGATACAAGGAGCACTAGGACGGGACAAAAAGATTCAAAGAAGATAACACATCTTTTCTGTCCAAATAATGTTGGCCAGAACTGGAAGCTACCCCTTACAGACCATGATCTAAAAGAAATACTTGTAATTATGACAGTTCCGAGAGAAAAATGTCTTTTAGCTTCTGCAGCATGCAATATAGAGACAAATGTTAACAGTGAAAACTTGTGCATCTCTTTTGCAAGTCAAGTTTGTCTTTTTAATTTTTCAGATAATCAATAAAGACCTTTCTCATTTCTCACAAATGAGAACACCTTTCATAAGATTCAGAAATCCTAGCTAAAACTACCTGATAAATGACTAAACCTTGCAACTTACAGCATATAAACAAAATAAATTTCTGAAGAAAATTGGATTAGAGGACCAGATCAATTCCAACACATATTCATTTACTTTAGAGTGTTTTTTAAAAATGCTCCACGAAAAAGCATTCTTCTCTCTCACAGTATTTCCAGCCGGTAGCATCAGAGCCGTCTGTCTGCACCCTGAGTATTCAAAGGAAAACTATTCCTTAATCTTCTAAGAACAGTTCAAACCCCTATGTGTACACACACACACAAAAAAAAAACACAATTGGAAAACTTGAATGATGTCTGCCTGGCAGGCAGGAAGCCATTTTCAATAACTAAAAGCAACATTTACAATAGTAGTCTGAAGGCTAATATGGAACTCACATGTAGATGTCAAAACAAGTTAGGCCCATACAATTCTGTAGGGCAAAACATGCAAATGCATTCCATCAGCCTTGGAAAATATGTCAACATCCCAGGGAACCCAAATGACAAACATCTTGTGCTCCCTGAAAGAACTCCACAGTCTGTAAACATGAGGCAATCAAATGAAGTAGCTGGAATCCCAGGCATTTCTTCAGCTTTATTCGCATGTAAATTATTAACTAAGGATTTGGGTGCTTTCAAGTTACTCATTTCAAGCCTAAATCGCTGGAAATCACTGTGAAAAGAACTCCAACTGGCTTTAATTTTTTTTTAGTTTCCTTCATTATGGCATACAAACATGTTGATTCTATGGAAGCTAATGCCCACTTCGCAGACAGCTGCAAGAGCATTTTGTGTTTGTTAAGCCAAGGAAAACAGCACAAATGTAGCTCTTCTGCAAGTCGTCTCCTTTGGCAGAGTAGCAGTGGAAGCAGGCAAGGGACACGTTTCTCTACAGCAACGTCTGAGGCAGAAAACACATACAAACGTCTGCCTCTTGGTGATTCCTCCCAAGAGCCAACCTGCAAGCAATCCCCTCCAGCCCCGTGTGTTCTTAGGCTGTATCTTTTCTTCTGGTTGATGCAGGAATGCTCTCAATTCTGATGCAGCCAGCAGGGATCGATTCACAGGAAGGCAGGGTGAAGTTACCTGGCTCAGAGCTGGCTATATGTGCTACTGGAACGCTACAGTCGGCTTTACTATACTTGATGGATACACAGAAGGAGAGAGAGTATTAATGTATGTGATCGCTTTTGGAATATTTTGATAACAAAGGTATGTTTTCAGCATTTGTTCTTGATCAGAGCAGAGACCAGCTTGCCCTAGACAGAAACAGTCCAATTCCCTGGCTGACATAAAAGCATCTACTGCAACTTGAGATGCTGTGGGCTATTCAAGCTATCTGCACAGGGCCAGGTGATACAAGGGGATCTAATGAGACCTGCAACCTCTGATAAAGCAGCTGGAAGCTAGGTAGGGTACTTGAGAGTGCTTAAAATAACACAAAGGAAGTATGTTTAGGTGACTAAATCATGAAAGGCAGTTACCATCAACTGGAAGCTTAGGGGTAGGTTTGGATTTTGAAATCCAAGTGGCTATGGTTATATGTTAAACACTGAATTCAGTCTAACTGGGGTAGCCTCCATCACATCAGCATGGGACTGAAGGATGCAACAGAACTCCTGCCTTGGAGGTCCAGGGAATATAAACAGAGGCTGTAAGAAGGGGACAGACTCTTCAGTGGAGTCTGTTGTGATAGGAAAAAAGGAAATGGCTTCAAAAGAGAGCCTCTAAAAGAGAGGAGCATATGAAGAAAAGGTTTTTTACAGTAAAGGTGATGAAGCATTTAAACAAGTTGCCCTAAGATGTGGTGGGTGCCCCATCCTTGAAGACATTTAAGGTAAGACCAGGCTCTGAGCAACCTGATTTATCTGTAGATATCCCTGTTTATTGCAGGGGAGTTGGACTAGATGAAATTTAAGGGTCCTTTCCAGCTCAAATGAGACTGTTATTCTATGAAGTACCCCAAAACATTGAGGCCCTACTCAGAGAAGCCAGTGAGTTCAGATTCCAGGGGAGACAGTCACAGAGAGGTACCTCTTTTGACTGATGTTTTTGGTTGACTGCTCAAAATCTTTCCAACTTACTTTCAGGTGCCTGGCATTTCTTTGGACTGTGGTCCCCTTTTCTCTATGTCAAAACTGTCACAGACAGAAGGCCTAACTAAGAGAGACAGAAAACTGCAGCTACTCTACCGTACAGTTTGCTGTTAATCAACAGTAATATCCCTCAACTCCCCATCTGCTCCACCATGAAGCCACTGTCTCTGGTTTTAGATTTTTGGGCACAGACACCACAGGCTGAACCTTGAACAGCACCACATGTGCACTCTAGAATTACTTTCACCTGCAGTACTATAGATAACTCTATAAATTAAAATTGGAAAATGAGTTAAATGTTTTCAAATATAAAAATAGTAACTCCAAACTTGTAGTGACAGATGAGAGCTAGAAATTTCAGAATTCCCCTTTGTACTGAATTAGGATATTGTAAAAGCTACCTTGTAAGAGAAGAGCTAAGAAAAAAAAAAAAAAGCAAAAGCAATGAGCTGAGAATGCAGCTTTGTTTCAGTTTGTCTTCTTTGATTTTATGAGTTCATACCCTCAAAACATTACCAATGTTGGTTTCTTCGAAGGTCAGTAAGTGATTACACCTTGTTTTTCCTGACCAGGGGTATTGCAGGTGTTTATAAATCAGCCATTTGCAAAACAGATGGTGAATATACAACTTCTGTTTTTTTCAGAGGTTAAGGAGGAAAAAGTACAGTTGAGTTTGTTAGAAGTTCCCTGCTAATCTGACATGGGCCTTAAAATACAAAGGAAAGCACAAGATAAAATAAATCATATGGTTGAGCTATTTCCTTACATTCCAAATCAGGGATGAAGTGATGAAAGAAACTACATTTTAGCCAGATGAAAACAAAAGAAAAAACATTTTGTCTGCCACAGTCCAGTGCATCACCACAGAAGAGTCAAACATCTAGTAAAAAAGAATGGGGAATTCTCAAAAAAAGGTTTTCCAAACTTCTGAGAGACAAAGGAGTTTATAAATGAATTGACTTGAGACTTTAAAAAATGAGCAGTTGGTTCTAGTATACAGAAGTCCCTGTAAAACATCTCCAATGTTGAGCAGAGATTGCACATGCAATCCCAAATAGATCAGCATGGCAAATGCAGGTTTCTATGAGCCATTGGCCTTAAATGGGAATGGCAGCATCTCTCTAGAAGCGTAGAAGTGCTTCCGTATCTTTGAAGGTACTTTAAATACATTTTGATATTTCAGCTTGGACAGAGATGACTAAAGAATATGTTACCTGAGTCTACTCCTCAATGACATGGGCAAATGAACAGGGCATGACTGTTCAGTATTTGTCAAGATAAAAGAAAGAGACTGTAACCAATTAAGGTATTGCAATAAAAGGTAACAAACAAAAAAACAGCATTTTTCTACAGCCCACAAAGAAATTCACTGCCCTATGATCTTGTGGAAACAACAGAATAAGCAAGTTCCAAACACAGAATAGATAGAAGAAAACTCTACCACAGTCTGTTAAACACAAAGGTGGCTACAGGCTCTGGTTCAGAAAGAAATACTCACCTACTGCCAAAAACTGGGAACAGACACTGAGGAAAACATTACTCTGTTTATCCACTTAAAATAATCTTACCCTAACTGCTACAGGCAGCTAAATAAGCTTTTGGATTAATACAGTATATTTGGATTAATACTGCTGCTTTTGTATGTTGGTCAAATTCTTCTTTCCTAACTAAAACATTGCAAAATGATGTTGAAGTCCTAGTAAATCTTAAGGGAGGGACAGGACTATCAAAAAAGGGAACCAACATAGAAAGAAAGCAGCAAAAAATGTGGTAGTGAGAGCACTTAGAAAAGTTGGTAACGTTGGTGGGACAGAAAGAACTTTGGTATTCACTGGCTGAAAGAGACTTGGAGCACAAAACAATGGTACCAGGTCTGGCTGTTCATTTCTATAGAGTCCAGTATTACAGCAGATGTTAATTAAGTTATAAATGTAATGATATTCTACCAAAGAAATATCAGCCTGCACTATCAGATGCTAAGGACTTTCCAGCTGGGCCAAAAGCCACTAAGAGTATTGTCAGAAGTCAGAATTTGTACTTAGCAGAAATTGCTGTCGTCTTTATCATTCTTTGTCTCTTTCTCACTTGGAATTTTACAGGACTTCCATTATATTCAGTAGGTTTGAATGGACTTCCTTTCAAAGTTACTCTTTTGGGAGATAATGCCAAAAGTATATTTAGGGGCACTTATAAACAGGAAGAAGCCCAAATTTTTACATGAGCAGATAGTGATAGGACAACGTGGAACAGTTTAGAACTAAAAGAGGTAAGATTTAGGTTAGATAATAGGGAGAAATTCTTTACTCAGAGGGTAGCGAGGTGCTGGAACTGGTTGCCCAGAGAAGCATTAAAAACCAGGTTGGATGGGGCCCTGAGCAGCCTGATCTGGTGGGGGCAACTCTGCCCACGGCATGGGGTTGGAACCAAGTGGTCTTTAAAGTCCCTTCTAAACCAAGCCATTCTGTGATTCTGTATCAGTGTTCAATGCTGGCATAAAATTACTCATTTCCATCGTAGGCAAATTCAGATCTTATAGCTAAGCTTATATCTGAAACACATGTATGGCAGCTTAGAGTTTCTTCTCTTCCCACTCACACTTTCCCTTTTGGTGTCTTAATCCCAAACTATGCTCTCCCTTCTCCTGACCATGAAGGTTACAAAATGGGACTGTGCTGCTTACCACGGACTGCGTTCCTCGTGTGGAGGACGTAGTTACAGGTGTTATAGTGATAGTACTTGTCACCTTGCTTGCTGCAGGCCGTGAGGACAGGTTGTTCCTGGGTGACCGTAGGACAGTACCAGTGACAACTTCTTTTTCAGCTGCTATGTTCACTGGTCGGACTGTTATCACAGGACTTGCACCATCTGGTGCAGCACCAGGAGAGCGCTTAAACTGGGAACCCAAATGGATGTGGATTTTGTTGTCTTCTGTTGTAATAATATTGGCGTTGGTGTTGTATTTACGGATTGGAGATGGGACAGTTTGTTTTTCTGGTGTTACTTTGAAAACAGCCCTTCCCATGGTCATGTCTTGTGACTGCGGAGAAACAGAGATTTCTGCTGGTGCCGCGGATGTTGATACTGTCATAATCTGAATTGGTGATGTGGGTCTGTCAACGAAAGGTACTCTGCCTCCCTCTGGAGACTTTTCTCTGGAGAATGTCGTTATAGTGACTGGAGACATGGAACGGTCAGGGCCCAATGGACTTTCGCTGCCTTTTCCTTTTGAAGGCATAATATTTGGAGAGGGAATGATGGTTATCCGTGGCTTCTGATTTCCCAAAGTAGGAATGACAGTGGTACTTGAAAAAAATTCCTCTGAGGTTGGGCTGGTTATTTCCAAAGTAGCTGTGCTGTTCTCATGGTCTGGTGTCACCCGAATATGAAGAGGCTGACCCTGCTTTGGTGAAAGGACAACCTCCCCAGGATGTGCTGTGCCACTGTGGGCTCGGGCTCCTTTGTCTGGAGTTGCCTGAGCCCCATGTTCCCTCTTTCTCATCCACGGTATCCAAGATTTCCTCATTGCAAGTTCATTTGCTGCTGGAGGGTATCTCTCAAGCACTGAAGAACGCTCCATAGGTTTTTTCAGACCTACCTGTCGCAGATTGCTCATTATGTGGTTCTCCTCCTGGAAGGATTTCTGTATAAACACAGCTGGAGTTTCTTCTTCTGCTGCTTCACTGCTCACAGCATCTGTTTGCACACCTGTGGATGTCACAGGAACATCAACCATTCTTCGTCCATTTATGCTGGGCCTTAGAGCACGGCTGTAACGCTTAGAAAGTTCTAACTCTCTCGTTAGATTCAGAACTTCCTGCCCCATGCTCTTGTTTTTGTTTTCTTCTTCTATAAACCTTTGCTGCAAAACTGAATAATCCACTTGGAGCTGAGAAAGCTGGTCTTCTTTGTTCATCAGTTCATGGATTTTTTCCTTAAGAGCTTGAACTTCTGCTTTCAAATCTCTGCTTTTAGCCTCTTCCAGACGAAACCTGTGCCTCAACTCTGCCTCCTGGCTCACTGCTTCACCTTTTTCTATTGCTTTGTTTTTGGCAATCTGGAGCTTCATCTCTTCCAGCTGTTGAGAAAGTAAGTTAGCTTTATCTTGCTCAGTCCTAAATTTCTGCTCTAGCTGATCGTATTCATCTTCTGTCTTCATCAAATCTCCTTCAACCACTTCCAATTGTTTGAGCCGTTTTTTCAGTCTTTCAATTTCAATAGTGAGTTCCTTAATCTTGTTGTCCTCCTGACAGCCATGCTCTGGTCCTTTTCTGGCTCGACCTCTTGTAATTTCTCTCTCCACTTCCTCCATACCATCAATTCTTTTCTTTAACAGATCAAATCGACAGCTCAGTTCTGAGGACTTTTCTTCTTCACTTTTCAGTTTAACAACTAACTCATCCCTTTCTTTCGTCAAAACAGACACCTTTTCCTCCATTTCTGATTTCAATTTCAAAAATTTCTTACTTTCTTCTATCAGTTTCTCTGTTACATCCATAACTTTCCCTTGTTCAACTTTAAAATTCTTGTTTAGACCCTCAACTCTTTTTTCTTCCTGTTTTATTTTTTCCATCATATTTTTCCGTTCATCAACCAACATTACGGTAAATGACTTCAGCTTTGTTAGGTCATCTTTTAAGCTTATTTCAGCTTTTTCCAACTTGCTTTCTGATGCCTCAAGGTCTTTCACTCGAGTCTTCACCAGTTCCAATTCATTTATCAAATCCTTAGTTAAATTCTTCTCTTTCTCCAAGTTTAAGTGTAGCTGAGTGCATTCAGACTTACTTTTACTGAAAGCCTCTTCCAGTTTCTCTAGTTCTGACATTCTCTTCTGCAACTTTTCCACTTCAAGTTTCAACTCTTTGTTATGGTGCTCTTCCTCTTGCAGTTTATTTTTCAGCTCTTTACACTGGGATTCGGTTTTTGTGATCTCTTCATCTTTTCCCTCCATTTCAAGTACACGCTTGCGGAGGTTTTCAACTTCTGCCATTAAACTAGAGTTCCCACATTCCCCTTTTGCTATTTTATCTCTTAGTTCCTGAAGTTCCTCTTCAGCTTTTTGAAGACTTCTGTTTGTTTCCTCTAGCTCCTCTATTCTGCGAGTCAACCCAACCAACTTGAGCCTTAGCTGTCTATTATGTGACTCCTGATTAGCCAGTTTAGCAGTCATCTCCTCATGTTCCTGAGAAAATGACGATGTTTTGTGTTCAAGTTCCGTTTCTAACCGCATCAGCTTTTGTCCATCTTCTTTTGCTTTTGCAGTAACAATTTTAAGCTTTTCTTCTTCTTCCTTTAGTTTTTGATTTAAATCTTGTATTTTCTGGCTTTGTTGATCAAGTTGTTCAATATGCATTTGTCTCTCATCCACCAGCATCAGTGCAAACGATTTGAGCTTGACTAGTTCTTCTCTTAGTTTATTGAGTCTCTTTGTGTGTTCTTTCTCCTTTCGGGCTTGATAGATCTTCTCCTGCTCAAGAAGTTTCTTCAATCTGAAACAAGTTAGAACAAATGGATTAAACTACAATATATGTGTATTTGGTGCATTTCTCAATTTGGTGCAATTCTCTATTTTTAATTCACTTTCACCAAGATTCTTTTTATACCCATCAATAACCTCTATCACCTTTCAGCATGTAACAACCTACCACATTTACATTCCCCAGCCAAAATATCTTAAATTAGAAAATTAACTGAAAACTGTATCAAATCATCCTGAATTCAGACACTGAAATTTTATACATGTCTAGATAGGAGAGACATCAGTTTTTAACTCCTTTGCATTTATTTCTCATTTAGAATGACGTTGGTAAGGATGTATCATATCCTATCAGGATAGGTATTATCTACTCACCAATCCAGTTTACTCACTTTTTTTGCATGATGCCTTCCTCATAAATGTCTCACATATATAAAAGTGTGAAAATAAGATAAAAAAAGGAAAACCAATTGCTATATGTAACTATACACAAGTGCTTATAAATGCTAATGATAAATATAGCAGCTGGACAGAAGATTATGCTAGCACATGACTGATAACCATCTGGGCATCAAAGGCATAAGAAATTAGCAGTAAGAGAAATTTGCCGGCACAGTGATAACAGATGTTAAAAGGTTTGTTCTCCTGGTCACACTGCCATTTACAGTAGCAGATGTTGTTGACTACAAGAGTCATCAAACCTTTAGCTACAACTAACCTTTGTATTTTCAAGAAATACAAAAGCACAGATCAGATCTATCCTCAGAAAGATAATACAGACCTACATTTTCCAGCATGGAAAATTGCATTAGCCATTACCCATGCAACATTTAAATAGGGAAATGAAGCACACTTCCTATTCTATATCTATTCATATTGCAGATACACTGACATAAAAAATAAAGAGTGACAAGTAACAGAGGGATATATTCCTTACTAGTGCATTAATGCAAAAGCAGCAGTATGATTTTAAAAAGAAGACAGATATGTATGGTGAATTTACTGTGAAATGACACATTTTTCAAACCACTCTCAAAGCACCAACTTTGGTATAAGGAAGTGTAATGTAATGATTCAAATCCACTTGCTTTGCTCACCCATTCATCAAACAAATTTCTTTGTAACTGTAACACACAGTGAAGTGATAACAGCAGAGCAATTCACCACCACAGTTTCAGTGGTAGCAACTGAAACCCCTAAGTTTCAGCAAAGATCAACTTTATCAGGAGTGCTGTCTGAACTCCTGCCCTGTAAGTGGTAGTGGGTGAAGCACGGGCACATATTCGCTCTGCTGCCCCAGGAATGAAGTGCTGCAGAGAGCTCTGGGACACAATATGTGCACCAGGGAAATCTCCTGAACTCACCTGAACTCTAAGCTCATAAAGCCAGACAGCTATTAATGTTTCACTCCTCATCCCTCAGGGACCAGAGGGAACAGGAACTGGAATGAAAAGCTATGAGAAAAGAGAAGGAAGCCAGAAAGCAGAACATGATACACTAGGTAGGGAAGGAGAGGGCTGAAGAATGCGTTTGAAAACAAATCAGATAGGATGTGGGAGTAAGAGAATAGTAGGAACCAGCAGGAGAGTGAAAAACAAACAAACCTTGCAGCCAACCTTACTGGTCACAGAAAAATCTCTTTAGTTTTGGCAGCTCTTTGGAAAGGACTGAAAAGACATGCTGGTCTATGTATGCCTCATTATGGGTCACGTTGGAGTATCAAAAGCTAAAAAAAAACAGCTGCTATTCACAAAGCACTCACTTTTCACACTCAAGGACAAACTTTATTAGCATGCAATATATTCCCTAGCTACTTTATCACACTGCTTTATGCAAAAGTCTCTGCCAAGAACTCTCCCTATCTCTCCTAGGCTACATTTTTAAAGTAGGACACATCCTCTCACAAAATAATTTTTGCCATAACAGAGCAGTGGGAGCTAGCCTCGTGGGGCCCTGAGCAACCCATCTCCCAGTCATTAACTTATAAATGAGAATATGAGATCTCATAAAAAGAGAAAATTTGAAGGTGGACTCTATCAATTAAAACAAACAAACAAAGAAACAACAACAACAACAACAGAAGACATCTTTGTTTTCTTTTTAAAGATTTTCCCATTTGAAAGTCTATCTGGAGATGCTGAGATCATTACCTATGATTCTGAATTGCCAGGCTGTTCATAGGGGATGTGTGCAATTTTACCTAGCAGTACAGGTAGCCAGGATGCTATGCAGAGTGCAAAGCAATTCACTTCCCAACAGTTACCTGTGAGCCTATAGGGCTGAGAAAGCCCATCCCTGGAAAACAAAAGAAATACCTGTTTGTTAATCTGAGACAAAGAAATGCCAGGGATGAAGCTGAGCAACACAAGAAGAAAGCACATCAGCACTGTCACCATGCTGTGCCTATCAGGAGGCTCAGAAGTGTGGAATAACTGGATCTGCAGTGTGGGAAAAGCAAAAATAAACTATCATAGCTGTGACAATACAACCTGGCAACGTAGCTTACACGTGCATATTGAACAGAGTAGGAAGCACCATGGAGTATTATATGTGCCTCAGCTTTTAGAGGGTGGAACCAGACTGCACAGGGTCTGAGAAGAGAGCTTTTACAGAAGCCTGATGCTTGATGGCACTTTTCCACATCCAGGAAAACTACTTCTTTAAGGGATGGATGGGGCACATCTACATCTGCACAGGTGCCAAATGAATCAACAGAATCTGTGCATTTTCAGTGTTATTTCTAGCCACTAAAAATAATGCTGAGTTGAAGCTTGCTCCTGCTTTTCTGTCTCCTGTCTAACTCTTATACCTCAGCAGCTAAACCAGAATTTCAGCAGGACTGCAAAGTGGTATTGCCTCATCCTGACCCTCACAAACGGTTTGTTATCGGGCTTCTCATCTCACTGCTGCTGCTGTTTGCTAAGTGACATCGGCCTGCGTGGGCTCTGCTAAAGGCTGAGAGCACTGCAGAGACTCACACCACGCGTCCTTAATGTGTCATCTAGAGCATTAACTGCATTCCAGGTTGTCAGGAGGTTGAAAGCACCTGCATTTAGAGTCAAAACAAGCAAAAAGGAAAAGGGGGGGGAGGGGGAGGAACTCACAACACAACATTTTAGTAATGAAATGTGAGCTAGTGACAACAATGACAAGACAGTAGTTAGGCACTCTGAGCCCAGTGCCTGCATTTGCTGTCTTGGTTTGCTTATCTTTTTTTAGAGATGAACATAACTATTTGGATAAAGTTATATAATCTACAGCCATCAGTATCAGTCTCATGGGCTGAGCATCCAGCCCACAGTGGGGGTGAAGGCAGATCCACTTAGTGCTTTGTGACCGCAAATCTTAACTGCTGCTTGTCAGTGGAAAGCACTGATGATATCAGCACAGCACTTTCCTTTTCCCACAAGTTTCTCAACTCTTTACAAGGGTAGATAATGGCAGGACAAGGGGCAATGGTTTTAAATTGAAGGAGGGAAGATTTAGGTTGGATGTCAGGGGGAAGTTCTTTACTGTGAGAGTGGTGAGGTGCTGGAACAGGCTGCCCAGAGAGGTTGTGGATGCCCCGTCCCTGGAGGTGTTCAAGGCCAGATTAGATGGGGTCCTGGGCAGCCTGGTCTAGTATTAAATGGGGAGGTTGGTGGCCCTGCATGTGGCAGGGGGGTTGGAGCTTTATGATCCTTGAGGTCCCTTCCTGCACAGGCCATCCTGTGATTTTGTCATTCTGTGATTCCCTACCTATTATATCAAAGCATACAGTTCAAGTCATATGTTGAATGCAAGACCTTCTGCTGCCGTGAGGGTCCAGGTGCTCTTCCCTCTCCTTCCTTTCTTTTGCTGTCAGCAGAAGGAAAGCTGGTGGGAGTGATGCAGTGGGTTTAAGGACATGGAAACATCTGTAGATCAGTCAGCTTGAAGAACAGGAAGACACAGTAGTGAGGAGAGAGCAGCTAAAGACTTGGCTTTAACCTTCATGTGCAGTGTGCTAGAAACTGCCAGCAAGGGTGAAGAGGTGAGTGGAAAGGTACCAGCCCTTCCTGTCCCCCTTCCTGAGGGTTTGAGGCTGAAGGGCCTTTTTGCTTCCCCTTCCCTCCTAGAAGCTTCAAATGGGCTGGGATACCAACAGCTGCTGAACACTCCAGAGAAGTGGCCCTGCTACTGTTGTCGAGCTTATGTGCCTAAGTTCTGTCCTACCAGTCCCGAATGACTTGCTCAGGCTGGGGCTGATCACTCTGTCAGGTCTAGAAGGCATTTTTTCCATAAAGGAAACCTGGCCAAAACCATACAGTTTCCCCCCTCAGCTACATGCTTGCTGCCAACAAGTCTGGCTATTATGTCAGTGTGTTTGTAAGAGACAGTACTGGATTACAGTGCAGACTTGGTTTGTAAGACCAGCACATCGGCTGTGCTGGGGAGGTGCCCAACATCTCTTCTATGGTTACAGACTTAATTTAACCACATGCATTGTTTTTCCTGCTTTACTTCAGTGTATGTCAAATTCATTCACTGAGGCGCATAGGAGGAACCCCACAGTATCATCTTCACAGCATCTGTCCTAAGACTAGAATGAGACTTCACCATGAACTACAGCTTACAGGTGGAGAATGATGCCGTGGTGGCTCATAAAGACAATAATTTCATACAAGAAGAGCTTTGGTGGGTTTTACTGAATTTTAGATGGGACTTAGTTTATCTGTAAACAGTAAAAGAAGTGGGAGCAGCAAGAGCTGAACCAAAATCAAGCATTAGGTGTTGTCTACATTTGCAAAAGAAATTACAAGCAGTGATAAGTAAGCACTGTCTTGCTTTCTAATGTACTTCATGAAAACATCTGAAATACAACAAACTTAGGAAACTGGGAAGTGCTACCTAGTGCTGGCTGGTAAGAGCCCTCCTTATCTGGATGAGGAGCTACAAGATATGGTTTAGTGGCTTGTAGTAGCAAGGGTAATGAGAGGATGGTTGGACAAGATGATCTTGTAGGCCCTTTCCAACCTTATGATTCTATGATTC